TGTTTGAAGTTCTTGCCAAGCAAGTTTGCCACGTGCACGTGCTGTTGTATCCTTCGATGTTCTAGGTGTGAGGACTTCCAATCGGCCTCTTGGCGGTCTTACTCAATGTTGTCGAGATTGTAAATCACATTCGCAGGAACGCCATGAATTCCAGAATCTTGAAGGTTATGCGTGAAAAGTCGGTGCAGACTTTTCGGTTCTCCGTTTTCACATTGAAGTAAAATCTTGAATCGCATTTTCAATCTGAAGGAAGAGATTGCAATGTTTTTTGAAGGAAACTATTCAGCAAAGGGCAGAGTTTCTCGAAAGTTACAAGACAACCAGTATATCTTGAAATTGGCGTACCTTGCGATTTTTTTTAGTGAGATCAACTCTCACTATAACTTCAGGTAAGATAACAAACCTGCTCACGGCCCAAGACACAGAGGTTGGATATCTTGGAAAATTACAACTATATGAGCGAAGAGTGATGGTTGGTGATGTTAGCAGAAATGATCACCCACTTGGAGACGTGCAACAGTAATTGTTTTTCCCGTGATGAAATCAAAGAATTTCGAAGTTTATATCATGAAACAATTTGCTGATTTTTCCAGATATGAAAATGATAAAATATAATGCTTGGATTTTGAGACTGCTCTGTGGAAGATATTCAATCTGATGACGTTACTGAGAGAGGACACCACTGACGACATTATTCTGAAAGGTAATTTAGGCGACACTGAACCAGTCATGTTTTTGGATACAAATTTGTCGACACTACACAACCTTCCTTCTGCTGTGTATATCTATAGTTCCGGGGTTTTTACTTTGGTATCCCGTCGACCCAGCTGGCGGTATATGATCCAGGGAGACTGTCTGCTGCTTCGCCATAAAGACTGAAGGCAACAACAGTCCTCCCACTCTTGGATAGCTTTTAAGAGTAGTATATACGGTAGTTGTTGTTGCTATCTGATGGGTGTCTTTAGGAGTTCTTCACCTGCCTGCTCGCTCAGTTGTGTTGCCATTTATACAATGTCAGGTAACGTAGCTGCTGGAGGACTGACTCTACTCCCCGGTGTTAGGGAGGTTCAGCTGTAGGGATGAGGGACCGTGGGAGGGAGGAAACCAACCATAGGTGAATAGGACGTAATTTACAACATGAAAGGAAAATCTACTCACCAAAAAAAATACAGGTAATGACACGAACGCAACCGATTAAATTAAATAAAATAGTAAGTAATTTAAACTGATATAACAAAGCATAACTCAATGTTATAAAATAAAATTATCATGAATAAACTGAGATAGTGAAAGCAGAAATAGCGAACAGAGGCAGTGAAGTGGAGGAGTAATGATGTTAAACAGGAGAGAGAGGAAGGAAACGAGGTCAAGAGAGAATGAGAGAAACTAACACAGTGTAAATAGGCTAAAAAAATACCCTTCAAAAAATAACACCAAGGGCATTAATAGACGAGGAAGAACAACATAAAAACAACAGTAAAGAAACAAAACAAAACTAACAAAAATAAGACAAGGAAAAGTACAAATTAACGACGAAGCAAAACGAAGCAACATGACCCAGATAAAGAGAAAATAGACTAATCCAACACAGTAGACGAAACAGAAGAATAACGAGGGGTGAACGAGCGTGCCAGGGGTAACATAGAGGGTAATGGATGTCGATCAAACAAAGGCAAACGAGAGTGACCATAAATGGGGGTCATAAAGCTGCGTTTGCGAGGGTAGAAGGGCAACACCTGAGAGAGAGAGAGAGAGAGAGAGAGAGAGAGAGAGAGAGAGAGAGTCCTCCACTAAAAGTTGTATCACAGCGTTCAGGAAAGCCATACATAGAGCTGACAAATGGAGCTAAGTGGTTGAATGAGGTGAAGAAGAGATATGGACGAGACGACGAAAATAAGAGTAGTAAGATAATGGGGGCTTAGTGGGTGGGTAATTAATGGTACTTGCCTGGGTATGGAATTAATGGTACTTAGTTTGATACTGGAATTAATGGAAATACTGAGGAAGAGAATGAGTTTCGTGGACAGACGTAAATGCTCGACTCCTTGAAACTACTAAAGTAAGCTAATAAAAAAGTGGTTGGACTACGGGGATGACGACGACAATGAAAACGATAATGGCGAAGACGAGGACGCTGGAGTTATTTGTGACACTAGCTCTTCGTTTTCTCGGGCAACAGACAAACTTTAACATGGACTGCAGACAGAGAACTGCTTAGATTCCCCTGCACGTGTAGTGTGTCTCTTTTGAAATCTCCTTGATTTTTTTTTTTTACTTGACTCGATAGAACATTTACTTTAGTCTCTCCTTGTTTTCTTGGTTTATTTTCAACATTCTATTTTTGTCGTCTCTGTGCCCCCAGGTGTGTGACAAGAGAAAAGTGATTCACATACATTCAGGTGAAGAGTTGCACCCAGACGTTGTCACACGATCTGTGATTACATTCGACTCGGGGCAGCCGTGGGTGATGCGTGAACTGACTCCAAATGACCTCTTGAGTACCTGACGGTCTGAGTTTGAGAACCAGGAGAGTACTGAGTGACTTGAAGATTATATCTACGAAAAACGTAACTGTATACTGTGTGTGTGTGTGTGTGTATATGTGTATGTGTGTGTCGTTGAGTCAGAGTGCTTTTTCAATGTAATTAAACAGTATATACCGTACAGAGTGAATCAATCCGCTGTGACAGAGTGTCCAGAGTAATTGGCTATCAGCGCTGGGGGTGTGGTGGTGATGGTGAGTGGTGCGTGAAGGTGATGAGTAGTGATACAGGGTGGTGGTGATGGTGATGATGGCGATGATACAGGGTGATGGTGAATGTGAGGGGAGAGTAAATGTGGTGAAATGTAAAATAGATGATTTTAGTGGCACAGGGAAACAGCTAAGTGGCGGTGTGTTAGTGGTAAGTGGTGGGTCCTGGTGGAGGTGAAGTGGTAGTTTGTGGGGCCTGGTGGAGGTGATGTGGTAGGTGGTGGGGCCTGGTGGAGGTGATGTGGTAGGTGGTGGGGCCTGGTGGGGGTGAAGTGGTAGTGGGGCCGGGTGGGGCCTGTGGTGGGGCCAGGTGGTGGGGCCGCTGGTGGTGGTGGGGCCTGGTGGGGTGAAGTGGTAGTTTGTGGGGCCAGTGGTGTGGTGGTGGTGGGGCCGGTGAAGCAGGTGGGATGGTGAAGTTGGTGGGTGGGGCCAGGTGGTGGGGCCTGGTGGAGGTGTGGTGGTGGTGTGGCTTGGTGGAGTGTGGTGGGGCCTGGTGGAGGTGATGTGGAGGTGGTGGGGCCTGGTGGGGGTGAAGGGTGGGGCCTGGTGGAGGTGATGTGGGGTGGGTGGTGGGGCCTGGTGGGTGAGGTAGGTGGTGGGGCCTGGTGGAGGGAGTGTGGGTGGTGGGGCCTGGTGAGGGGGTGGTAGTGGGGCCTGGTGGAGGTGATGTGGTGGTGGGGGTGGGGAGGTGTGGTAGGTGGTGGGCCTGGTGGAGGTGGTAGGTGGTGGGCCTGGTGGAGGTGATGTGGTAGGTGGGGCCTGGTGGAGGTGATGTGGTGGTGGGGTGGAGGTGATGTGTAGGTGGTGGGGTGGTGGAGGTGGGTTGTGGGGCCTGGTGGAGGTGATGTGGTCGGTGGTGGAGCCTGGTGAGGGGTGAAGTGGTAAGGGGCCTGGTGGAGGTGATGTGGTAGGTGGTGGGGCCTGGTGGAGGTGATGTGGTAGGTGGTGGGGCCTGGTGGAGGTGATGTGGTAGGTGGTGGGGCCTGGTGGGGGGTGAAGTGGTGGGGCCTGGTGAGGTGGTGGTGGTGGGGCCTGGTGGAGGTGGTGGTAGGTGGAAGGGCCTGATGTGGTAGGTGGGGCCTGGTGGGGTGGTGGGGCCTGGTGGGGGTGAAGTGGTAGTGGTTTACTGGTGGTGGGTGGGTGGTGGTGGGGGGTGGTGGTATGGGGCCTGGTGGGGGGTGAAGTGGTAGGTGGTGGGGGTGAAGTGGTGGTGGTGGGGGTTGGGGGGGGCCTGGTGGGGGTGAGTGGTAGGTGGTGGGGCCTGGTGAGGGTGAAGTGGGGTGGTGGGGCCTGGTGGTGGGTGGGGGCCTGGTGGGGGGTGAAGTGGTAGGTGGTGGGGCCTGGTGGGGGTGAAGTGGTGGGTGGGGCCTGGTGGGGGTGAAGTGGGGTGGTGGGGCCTGGTGGGGGTGAGTGGTAGGTGGTGGGGTGAAGTGGTAGTTTGTGGGGCCTGATGGAGGTGATGTGGTAGGTGGTGGAGCCTGGTGAGGGGTGAAGTGGTAGTTTGTGGGGCCTGGTGTGGGTGAAGTGGTAGGTGGTGGGGCCTGGTGGGGGTGAAGTGGTAGGTGGTGGGCCGTGATGGATAGGGGTGAAGTGTTAAGTGTTTTTGGTGGTAATGGTACTAAATGGTACTGCGTCCTTCATGGGGTGTTAGTGGTCGGGAAGCTCTCTTGATGGTTCATTTTTGTTAATGGTTTTGTCACTCTTGGTTGGTGAAGGTGGAAGGTAGTGATATAATTGGCCGCGAGGAGGGCTCAATTTACTCTCCGCAGTATGCCTGTTTATGCCATCGTATTCATAATTGACTTTCTTTTATATAATTATATATCTGCAAATTAACTTAAAACGAAATAAGAATTAGCTTGTTTTTTTATATTAGGAAACTAAATGAACAAAAAATAATATTAATAAATTGCTATTAAAGATGGTACATCACTCACATGGTAAAAATATATCGTGTAAAAATAAAACTCGTATTAGCATGAAGTGTTTGCAGAACAGTCAAAGGCTACAGATTATATTAATTACGTAGCGTCACTTTTAATGCGGAACGATCATGTGTATTAATCGGCTCTGATGGTATTTAACAGTTTCAGCGAATTCTTAATTAACGCAGTTCGTTTTACGTGACTCCCTTAAAGGCCTTTGTCATATAAATAAGACATTAATGTTGGTGGTTTGTGTCGTTAAAGGTAAATTTGTTAACGTTGATAAATTTGTATTATTATGTATTATAGTTGGACCCAACACACTATGTCGACACACCACACTTTGTAGTTGGTACACCTGCACACTTTGTAGTTTTTACACCAGCACACTTTGTAGTTGGTACATCTGCACACTTTGTAGTTGGTACATCTGCACACTTTGTAGTTGGTACACCAGCACACTTTGTAGTTGGTACACTTGCACACTTTGTAGTTGGTACACCTGCACACTTTGTAGTTGGTACATCTGCACACTTTGTAGTTGGTACAACTGCACACTTTGTAGTTGGTACACCTGCACACTTTGTAGTTGGTACACCTGCACACTTTGTAGTTGGTACACCAGCACACTTTGTAGTTGGTACACTTGCACACTTTGTAGTTGGTACACCAGCACACTTTGTAGTTGGTACATCTGCACACTTTGTAGTTGGTACATCTGCACACTTTGTAGTTGGTACACCTGCACACTTTGTAGTTGGTACACCTGCACACTTTGTAGTTGGTACACCTGCACACTTTGTAGTTGGTACATCTGCACACTTTGTAGTTGGTACACCAGCACACTTTGTAGTTGGTACACTTGCACACTTTGTAGTTAGTACACCAGCACACTTTGTAGTTGGTACAACTGCACACTTTGTAGTTAGTACACCAGCACACTTTGTAGTTGGTACAACTGCACACTTTGTAGTTGGTACACCAGCACACTTTGTAGTTGGTACATCTGCACACTTTGTAGTTGGTACAACTGCACACTTTGTAGTTGGTACACCTGCACACTTTGTAGTTGGTACACCTGCACACATTGCAGTAGGTAAACCTGCACACTTTGTAGTAGGTAAACCTGCACACTTTGATTTGGGTAAACCTGCCAACTTTGTAGTTGGTACACCTGCACACTTTGTAGTTGATACACCTACACACTTTGTAGTAGGTAAACCTGCACACTTTGTAGTTGGTAAACCTGTACACTTTGTAGTTGGTACACCAGCACACTTTGTAGTTGGTACACCAGCACACTTTGTAGTTGTTACACCAGCACACTTTGTAGTTGGTACACCAGCACACTTTGTAGTTGGTACACCAGCACACTTTGTAGTTGGTACACCAGCACACTTTGTAGTTGGTACACCTGCACACTTTGTAGATGGTACACCTGCACACTTTGTAGATGGTACACCTGCACACTTTGTAGTTGGTACACCTGCACACATTGTAGTAGGTAAACCTGCACACTTTGTAGCTGGTACACCTGCACACTTTGTAGTTGGTACACCTGCACACTTTGTAGTTGGTACACCTGCACGCTTTGTAGTTGGTACACCTGCACACTTTTGTAGTTGGTACACCTACACTGCACACTTTTTGTAGTTGGTACAACCGCACACTTTGTAGTTGGTATACCTGCACACTAAATAGGTAAACCTTTGTCAAAGCGGTAAACGGTCGCATTGCAGTTGGTACACCTGCACACTTTGTAGTTGGTACACCTGCACGCTTTGTAGTTGGTACACCTGCACGCTTTGTAGTTGGTACACCTACACATATTGTAGTAGGTAAACCTGCACACTTTGTAGTTGGTAAACCTGCTCACATTGCAGTTGGTACACCTGCACACTTTGTAGTAGGTATACCTGCACACTTTGTAGTAGGTAAACCTGCACACTTTGTAGTTGGTAAACCTGCCCACTTTGTAGTTGGTACATCTGCACACTTTGTAGTAGGTATACCTGCACACTTTGTAGTTGGTACATCTGCACACTTTGTAGTTGGTACACCAGCACACTTTGTAGTTGGTACACCTGCACACTTTGTAGTTAGTACACCTGCACACTTTGTAGTTGGTACACCTGCACACTTTGTAGTTGGTATACCTGCACACATTGTAATAGGTAAACCTGCACACTTTGTAGTTGGTACACCTGCACACTTTGTAGTTGGTAAACCTGCACACTTTGTAGTACACCAGCACAACCTGCACACTTTGTGCTGGTACCTGGTAAACTGCACACATTTGTAGCGTTGGTACACCAGCACACTTTTGTAGTTGGTACACCTGCACACTTTGTAGTTGGGGTACACCCGCACACTTTGTACACCTGCACACTTTGTAGTTAAACCTGCACACTTTGTAGTTGGTAAACTCACACTTTGTAGCTGGTACACTGCAATTGTAGTTGTAGGTAAGGTAAACCTGCACACTTTGTAGCTGGTACACCTGCACCTCTGAGAAGACGTAGGGCACTTGTCAGGGTTGGTGAGTTGGGTTTGGCTGGGTTGGTGAGTTGGGTTTGGCTGGGTTGGTGAGTTGGGTTTGGCTGGGCTGGTGAGTTGGCTTTGGCTGGCTTGTGGCTTGGGCGGCTGGTGGGTTGGGCTGGGCTGGTGAGTTGGGTTTGGCTGGGCTGGTGAGTTGGGGCTGGGCTGGTGAGTTGGGTTTGGCTGGGCTGGGAGTTGGGTTGGGCTGGTGAGTTGGGTGGGCTGGGCTGGTGAGTGGGTTTGGCTGGCTTTGGCTGGGCTGGTGAGTTTTTTGGGCTGGTGAGTTTGGTTTGGCTGGGCTGGTGGAGTTGGGCTTGCCTGCTGCAAGAGTTGGGTTTGGCTGGCTGGTGAGTTGGGCTGGGCTGGGCTGGTGGAGTTGGCTTGGCTGGCCAGAGCTGGTTGGGGCCAGGAGAGTTGTTGGGCTGGCTGGTGAGTTGGGTTGGGCTGGGCTGGTGAGTTGGGTTTGGCTGGGCTGGTGAGTTGGGTGGTGAGTTGGGTTGGGCTGGGCTGGTGAGTTGGGTTGGGCTGGGCTGGTGAGTTGGGTTTGGCTGGGCTGGTGAGTTGGGTTGGGCTGGGTTGGTGAGTTGGACTACTTTTACCCTGTCAGTATTGTAAAAATTTTATCCTGCATTGTATTTTCTTCCAACTGATTTATATTTTCCGTCCTCACTGTTCGTACATCAACACACACTTGGTACAGCAGCACACACTTGGTGCAGTAACACACACTTGGTACAGCAGCACACACTTGGTACAGCAGCACACACTTGGTGCAGTAACACACACTTGGTACAGGCCAGGCACGCGTGGCATCAAGACCTCGGCTACAAGCTCCCACAAGAGGTTCAGTACTGACGACAAAAATCACTTGAGCGGAATTTCAGTCATGTGTAGCGAGGAATGTTTAGCTGCAAAGGTCGGTTTTAGTGACTCTAGGACCAACACTCACCACACCAACTGTTTTAACTCTTTCAACTTGGTGATTTGTAGCGTTGTATCGTTTTGTTTTGTTTTCTCGAGGGGATACGAACCCACGGCCTTAATGTCTGGTGCTGTGGTTGGGCTGCCAAAAGTCGTACTCGGATGTTTAGTTTTTTTTTCACGTGATTAAAGAGGATTTGTGTGGCTCCGAGCTACGACCAGGAGTTAAATATGGAGACTTTTTTTATTTTATACGGAATCGATTATGACATTTCTCACATGATTTTTTTTTGTATACTGGTGTTTCACATGTCTTTTGATGATCATTAATTGTATAGGTAAATAAGATAAAGCTACTTAATTTTGGTAAATGAGATATAGATAAGATAGATATAGAAAAATTAATTAAATGTAGATAACTGAAAAACAAGAATACACACACACACACACACACACACACACACACACACACACACACACACACACACACACACACACACACACACACACACTCTCACACACACTCTCTCTCTCTCTCTTTTATTTGGGAACCTTATTCTGAATAATTAGCGCAGTTACAGCGATCCCCACAGTATAATAGTGAGAAAATATGAAATAAGAACTTTTGTGTGGGGGTTAAACCGTAATTTGGACTTGAACATTTAACGCATCTAAAATCTACGAAACAAGGTCATTTGCTTAAAGTGCTTCGTGTGTAGCATCAGTCATAATGTAAAGCTGTCTACTTCATTACTGAGATATAGTTCATGTTTAGTTTTGGCAAAATTGAGATTAAGGGGAGCGCTGGTGATGGATCGGCAGGTTGGTCTTTTTCCGCGAAGCACCAACTGTATTTACAGGTCAGACTTAAAGTTGCAGTCTAATTTGCAGGCCAGAATTAAAGCACTCGCCGTATTTACAGGTCAGACTCTTAAGGTGATGAGTTCGCAATATCCTCCCAACAGCTTCTTAATCCCTGGGAAATACAGCCTTTACCTGCCACCTTTAATAGTGCTCAGTGCAGCGGTTCATCTTTTTACGGGACGGGGGAGAAGGGGTGTGTGTAAGGAGGGTGCGTGTGTAGGGGGGTGAGGGCGTGCGTGTGTCGCGGGTGGATTGGGGAGGATGGGGGGGAGGGTGTGTCGCGGGTGGATTGGGGAGGATGGGGGGAGAGGTGTGTGTGTAGGGGGGTGAGGGCGTGCGTGTGTCAGGGTGGATTGGGAGGACAGGGGGGGGAGAGGTGCGTGTGGGGGGAGGGTGGTGAGGGCGTGTGTAATGCGGGTGGATTGGGGAGATGGGGGGAGAGGTGCGTGTGTCGCGGGTGGATTGGGGAGGATGGGGGGGAGAGGTGCGTGTGTAGGGGGGTGAGGGCGTGCGTGTGTCGCGGGTGGATTGGGGGAGAGGTGCGTGTGTAGCGGTGAGGGCGTGCTGGCAGGCTCGTGGTAAGTTGTCTTCACCCTGGTGGTGTTAGAACAAGTCGTATTTCTAAACCTTTCAGTGGTGTGAACAGACAACAAAACAAGATATACCCCGTCCATTTTATCAAACACTTAAGAAAATTTTTATTATTATTATTATTATTATTATTATTATTATTATTATTATTATTATTATTATTATTATTATTATTATTATTATTATTATTATTATTATTATTATTATTATTATTATTAGTTACTTTAGTGTTAACGTGTATGTGCAGGTTGTGAAGAATGTGTCGGTAAATAAAATTATTCAAGAGGGTGAGATAGATTTAGTACTGAGCTTCATCAGGGTGGAATGATCAGCGCAGATAAGATGGAAATGAGTGAGGTCTAAAGTTCTCTCGGTCAGTTAGCAAGTCAGTCAATCAGTATTATCGTTTAAATCACCTGACTGAAACATTTGTGAAATAAATATCTAGAAGTCTTCCATCAAAAGGAATATTCTTTAAAATAATGTATTTATACGTTGGAGTTAGAACTTAAAATCTACAAGCTGACGTAATTAAAAAAAGATTGAAGCAAATTATTCTCGAGCGTTGGCCATAATGTGGAGGATTTCTGTGATGTATTAGGCAGGAGATACTTAGCAGGGTTTGTGTTTACTAAAAGCCTTGTAGTTGTTGTGTCTAATATAAAACAATTAACGGGTGCAGTTAGGCACACCAGCTTTTTGAAATGATGATTAAACACCCTATCGCTAACCTAACCTAACCTAACCTAATCCCAAATAACTTCATTTACCTGAGTTTAATCTCTCGTATGAAGTTAACGTTTACTGTAGTGGGAAATATTGATTTACAAGACACTTTAGCCCGTGAAGGAGGAGATACTGTAAACTTCACATGCTGGCTGTGTTTATCATAACGAGGTGCTTCCCCTTGTAGCTCATGTTTACCTAAAGGCTTTAATGGTTAAACGTTTTGACAGCTGGTGTGTGTGTGTGTGTGTGTGTGTGTGTGTGTGTGTGTGTGTGTGTGTGTCTCAGCTCTGGGACGATGAGAGGCGCACCAGCATCTGGGTCAGTGGGGGATGCTGGTTATTCCAGATTCCTGGGCCGCACGTGAGCCTGTGTTAAAAGGTGTTGTCTCTCACCTGCCCTCCCTCACCTGTCTTCACTTACCCCTTTCTCTTCATCCCTCTCTCTCACCTACCCCCTCTATCTCACTATCTTTTTATTTCTCTTTTTTTTCTAGTTTTTGTTTTTTTCGGCTTTACCGCCTCATCAGTGCCTAACTTTTCACCGTCGGCTTTTGAAGATAGCCGGAGGTGACCACAAGACTGGGGGACCCGGCCGCCACCGTGTGTTTTATTCAAGTTTAATATATGGAAATCTTTTAATAAATCCAAGAAAATCATTTATTTATCGCTTCTAATTTAAGATTTCAAGTGTCCATTTTGCTTCAACCTGATATTCAGTCCGCGCGTTCGAATCCCCGTCCCGACTCACCTTGTAGATGACGAACTTATTATATTCTTCTGGTACGAGCTCTTTCTGAAGCCAGGAGCGAACTCAGTAAATGACACAGGTAATAATAATATACGTTTCGAACCAG